GGAGGCTGAGGCAGAAGCATCACCTGAGCCCAGAAGTTTGAGGCTGCAGTCTACTATGATCACATCTGTGAATAGCCACTGTACTCCAGACTGGGCAACATAGGGAGACCCTGTCTCTATTTAAAAGAGAGAGAGGGAAACAGAGAGAGAGAGAGAAACAGAGAGAAAGAGAGAGAGAGAAACAATAATATCCTTTAAAAATAATGAGAACAGAAGAGTAAGAAATTTGCAATAGTTTTTTCTTTTTTTTTTTTTTTGAGATGGAGTCTTGCTCTGTCACCCAGGCTGAAGTGCAGTGGTGGGATCTCAGCTCACTGCAACCTTGACCTCCTGGGTTCAAGCAATTCTCCTGCCTCAGCCTCTCGAGTAGCTGGGACTACCGGCGCGTGCCACCATGCCCAGCTAATTTTTTTGAGATGGAGGCTTGCTCTGTCACCCAGGCTAGAGTGCAGTGGCATGATCTCGGCTTACTGAAATCTCCACCTCCCGGGTTCAAGTGATTCTCCTACCTAAGCCTCCCAAGTTGCTGGGATTACAGGCATACACCACCATGCTTGGCTAATTTTTTGTACTTAGTAGAGACGGGGTTTCGCCATGTTGGCCAGGCTGGTCTCAAACTCCTGACCTCACGCCACGGCCTCCCAAAGTCCTGGGATTACAGGTGTGAGCTACCGCGCTCAGCCTTCTATATTCTTCTAAGACTTTCCAGGGCAAGTGTTCTGACTCACTGGCATGAATATCTGGTTCCTTTGGCTAATGTATACCTCAAATGGAAATGAGTGTTATTTCCCTCTTGTTGCCCCTAACCATTAAGATCACTAACCAACCTCTAAATGACTTCCTGTGACATAAGATCTTTGAACCCAAACATAGAACACAAAGAAAGTGATTTAAAACAAAAGCTCTTAGTGAAGTTTTCCAGTGTCCCTTTAATGAAGTAATCTTCTCTGCCCTCTACTGGTGATGAAAATAACATCTACTTGGAAATAAATGGAGGCATTTTCATAAAGCAGCAGTTAGTACCCTATGGGGACCTGGCTTGCTTTGCCAGGGGGTTCCCAAGACCCTCTCAGGGTCTGCAAGGTCAAAACTATTTCATAATAATACTAGGTCATGATGTGCCTTTTACATTCTCAAGCATGTACTGAGTATGAAAAGCTTATTGATATGAGTTCTGATTTCATACTGCAACAAATCTTTAAGATATTACCTCTTGGCCAGGCAAGGTGGCTCACGCCTGTAATCCCAGCACTTCGGCAGGCCGAGGCAGGCAGATCACTTTAAGTCAGGAGTTTGAGACCAGCCTGACCAACGTGGAGAAACCCCATCTCTACTAAAAATACAAAATTAGCTGGGCATGGTGGCGCATGTCTGTAATCCCAGCTACTCGGGAGGCTGAGGCAGGAGCATCACTTGAACCAAGGAGGTAGAGGTGGCAGTGGGCCGAGATTGCGCCATTGCATTCCAAACTGGGCAACAACAGAGAAACTCCGCCACAAAAAAAAAAAAAAAAAAAAAAAAAAAAAGATATTGCCTCTTGTTGAGTTTCTCTTCACTTTTTTCCCCACACAATTCATGCACAGATTATCTTGTTGAGTTTTAGAATTGTATAAAAGAAGGCCGGACATGGTGGCTCACACCTGTAATCCCAGCACTTTGGGAGGCCAAGGCGGGAGGATTATAAAGTCAGGAGTTCGAGACCAGCCTAGCCAATATGGTAAAACCTGTCTGTACTAAAAAAAAACATTAGCCAGGCATGGTGGCACGTGCCTGTTGTCCCAATTACTCGGGAGGCTAAGGCAGGAGAATCCCTTGAACCTGGGAGGCGGAGGTTGCAATGAGCCGAGATTGTACCACTGCACTCCAGCCTGGGCGACAGAGCAACACTCCATCTAAAAAAAAAAAAAAAAGAAAAAAGAAAATGTACATAATTATCTGAAAAGATGATTGAACTCTCCTCCCTTTTCCAGCTACATATCTATGTGAGTCTAGGTTTTCTTCATGTACTTCAGTCAAAACAACCTATCATGACAGACTGGAGAAGCAGATATGAAAATCCAGCTGACTTCTAGGTTGGGCATGGTGGCTCACGCCTGTAACCCTAATCCCAGTACTCTGGGAGGTCAAGGCAGGCAGAGCACCTGAGGTCAGGAGTTCAAGACCAGCCTGGCCAACATGGTGAAACCCCGTCTCTACTAAAAGTACAAAAAATTAGCCAAGCGTGGTGGTGCATGCCTGTAATCCCAGCAACTCGGGAGGCTTAGGTAGGAGAATCACTTGAATCCAGGAGGCGGAGATTGCAGTGAGCTGAGATTGCGCCACTGCACTCCAGCCCAGGCAACAAGAGCGAAATTCCATCTCAAAAAAAAAAGTACAAAAATTAGCTGAGCATGGTGGTGGGTGCCTGTGGTCCCAGCTACAAGGGAGGCTGAGGCATGAGAATTGCTTGAACCCGGGAGGTGGGGGTTCCAGTGAGTCAAGATCATGCCACTGCACTCCAGCCTGGGTGATGGAGTGAAACTCTGTCTCAAAAAAACAAAAAAAAAAAAACAAAAAAAAACAAAACAAAACAAACAGGGTCTTACTCTGTCACCTAGGCTACAGTGCATTAGTGTAATCCTGGCTCACTGTAGCCTAGACTTGGACCTCTCAGGCTCAAGCAATCCTCCCATCTCAGCCTCCCCAGTAGCTGGGACCACAGGTGTGTAGTACCATGCATGGCCAATTTTTTAATTTTTTGTAGAGACAAAGTATCACTACATTGCCCAGTCTGGTCTCAAACTCCTGGGATCCTGCCTCAGCCTCCCAAAGTGCTGGGATTACAGGTATGACCCACCCCACCCAGCCACTACAGATATTTTTAAATTCCCTAAGCAGCTAATATGATAAAATAGTAGACAGATTCATATAATATACAACAGACTACATCTACAAAATAATAATTTTACACACTAATTCCTTTTAAAATAGGAATGCTCGAATTTCTGTAAATTAAATGAGTACATATATGTATACTCCACCACACACTCATAGAGATTAGAGAGTCTTCTATAAATGAAGCATAATATATGTGTTTCATGACAGACGATTACTTCCAGGATTTTTGCTTATTTAAACTTGTTCTCAGTCATATAATAGAGAGTTGCAGGCCAGGTGTAGTGGCTCAGGCCTATAATCCCAGCACTTTGGGAGGCCAAGGCAGGCAGATCACTTGAGGTCAGGAGTTCAAGACCAGCCTGGTCAACATGGCAAAACTCCCTCTCTACTAAAAAGACAAAAATTACCTGGGCATGGTGGTGGGCACCTGTAATCCCTGCTACTTGGGAGGCTGAGGAAGGAGAATCGCTTGAACCTGGGAGGCGGAGGTTGCAGTGAGCCGAGATTGTGCCACTGCACTCCAGCCTGGGCAACAGAGCAAGAATTCGTCTCAAAAAAAAAAAAAGAGTTGCAGTTGCAAGACAAGTGACCTCTCGATTAGCAACTTAAAATTCTGTTTTGCAGTCTGACTCTTAATTGAGACAATGTAGTATATTTACCATATTTTTAGTGGAAATAACCTAAATTCAAATTCTGCCACTTACTAGTCTAACATTGGGCAATTTCCAATGTACCTGAACCTTGGTTCCTTCATCCATTAAAATGGAATACAAGTAGTACCGATCCCACGGGATCGTTATGAGGATTAAATGATGTATATGTAAACAGCCTACTATGGGGACTGATACTTAGTAGGTACTCATTTACTAATATTAATAACTTGTGCTCACTCCCCGCTGGTGTGGTGTAATGTTTGCAGAAGTTTCTGCAGTTTTTTTTTTTTTTTTTTTGAGACGGAGTCTTGCTCTGTTGCCCGGGCTGGAGTGCAGTGGCCGGATCTCAGCTCACTGCAAGCTCCGCCTCCCGGGTTTACGCCATTCTCCTGCCTCAGCCTCCCGAGTAGCGGGGACTACAGGCGCCCGCCACCTCGCCCGGCTAGTTTTTTGTGTTTTTAGTAGAGACGGGGTTTCACTGTGTTAGCCAGGATGGTCTCGATCTCCTGACCTTGTGATCCGCCCGTCTCGGCCTCCCAAAGTGCTGGGATTACAGGCTTGAGCCACCGCGCCCGGCCGTTTCTGCAGTTTTGAGTATAAAATCTGAGACTGGGAGGTGATCCCCTTTGGCCTTTCATGTGTCCTTGCTAATTGTACAGATCCCGTCCCATCCCTTCACCCAAATATACACCCCAATGATAAGTAGAGCTCTATCTCCTTTCCAAAAGCTCCAGATAACATCAGAGCCTCTATATTGAATAATTTGTCTGATTCTGAGAAGGGGGTTCAGTAGATCTCGGGCCTAGGTCCGTGTTCTGCCCCTAATTTGACCACGTGATCTTGGATAGGTTACTTAATTTCTTCAGTGAGTCTTGGGTGTTCTCAGTCGTAAAAATAATGCAGCTTCAACCACTCCCAATGTCCTTTCAGATTTTAGATTGGGAAGAAACTGTCCACGCACCACAGAGATTAAAAGCGACTGGAAACCCCTAAATACTCTCCCCAAACCCATTTCAAACGTCACTGCTTCCGATTTCTGGGCTTCTTGGAATTTCGTACAAATCTCAAGGGTTCACGCTGGCCCCTGCGCCCTCACGCGGCTAGGACCTCACACCCTGCGTCGCAGGCGTCCTACCCTCTCTGGAGCTGTGTCCAGAACCCCTTCCCAAGAGCGCTGTAGTAAGGACTGAATGAAATAACGGCGGCGCCTGACAGAGCTCAGCACAAGGCAAGTGCTCAAGAGATGTTGGCTAATATCAGCAGTCAACGGACCCCGCGCCCTCCTTGAGCCTCGGTTTCCTCAAGGATGTAGTGAGGACCGGCAGAGACCATGCTCAAAGCCCCCAGCAGCGGGCGGAGGGTCCCTGGGCGGGCCTAAGGGGCGCACGCTGCGGGAGGCAGGTCAGCCCCGGAAGCCCGGCGGCCCTAAGAGTCCCTTGTGTAGCCCAGCGCCGAGATGCGTCCTCTCACCTCCCGGGCTCAGCAGCAGCTTCAGTGCTTCCAAAATCCGATCCAGACCGCATGTCTCCTGAGCCCCGCTGCCCACAGCCTGCCCCGGGGCCGCCATGACTGGAGTGTCACGCGACGCTCCTGGCGCTCTCAGGCGCCTCGGCAGGGCGCCGCCGCCATGTTGAGTGTGGCAGAAGGCGATGGGCACACTATGGGGCGGGGCCCGCAGGGTGGGGCGGGGCCAAATCGGTCGGGAACGCCCCCTTCACTTTTTTTTTCCGTCCCAACTTAGTCCAAGGGGTAGGAGGGAACCCAAAAATGGCTAACACAGTCTGCCCACGCGCACAATTTCAGAAGCTCAGTATGATTAACCGCTATGTAAAGAAGGAAGAGAGAAGTAATTTATCATTAAATAATCTGTATTTCAATATGAAAATACTTAGGTACTCAACACTGGCAGACATAAAGAAGCAGACAGATGCTTACATCTGCTTACAGTGAAACATGGATAAGGAAAAACAATATTCAGGCTGGGCGCGGTGGCTCAGACCTGTAATCCCAGCACTTTGGTAGGCCGAGGTGGGCAGATCACAAGGTCAGGAGTTTGAGACCAACCTGTCCAATACGGTGAAACCCCGTCTCTACTAAACTTAGAAAAATTAGCCAGGTGGCGGCGGGCGCCTGTAGTCCCAGCTACTCGGGAGGCTGAGGCAGGAGATTCGCTTGAACCTGGGAGGCGGAGGTTGCAGTGAGCCGAGATCGCACCACTGCACTCCAGCCTGGGTGACAGAGCGAGACTCCATCTCAAAAAAAAAAAAAAAAAACCTAAGTACAGACGTACACACGCATATATATCCATTGTGAATGTAAAGCTACAAATGTTGCTATGGGTAATATGATTTTTGTTTTTTTAGTGAACTTGGTGAAGTTTCCAGTAAAAGTTCGATCTTTCTTCTGTTTTCATGGTTGTTGCATTCCTTGAAAATTCAGTGTCTATCAAAACCATGCCCTCCCCCAAACTGTTTTTATATGTAAAACAGAATGGATTTGAGATTCAGATAATCAGAAACAGGTTTTCACCTACATAAATCCTGGTGGGACATTGAAAAACCGTGTTGTCTGAAAGTCATGCTGCAGACACAGGACAATGTTTCTGAGGGCAGGACCTTTATTTTGATTTTTTGAGATGGGGTCTCGCTCTGTCGCCTAGGCTGGAGTTCAGTGGCGTGAACCACCACTTCACCCAGGCTGGTCTTGAACTCCTGGGCTCAAGCAATTTGTCCACTTTGACCTTCCAAAGTACTGAAATTACAGGCGTGAGCCCCTGAGTCTGGCCTTAAAAATATTTTTGAATGGGAAATAAATGACCTACAAAATTGCCACCATGCTCTTTTTATTCTGTGTATTCCTTTCCAGGCTTTTTCATTAGACAATGCTTCCTCCATTGTGTATGGGCACAGATTCATTTGGGAAATAATAAATTTTAAGAGTATTTTGAGATGTTAAACATTTAGTGAGATGGGGGTAAAGCATTGTGTGGGAAAAGCTTGAGGGGTTTGGTGCAAAAATACAAGTAGAGGCCCTCACACCATCAGTCGAAATATTTCAGTGTTAGAAATCAAGCAAAGAGCCTGGTAAATAAAATGTTTTCTATCCTCCTACCTTGAAAATTCTATCAAGGTAGAATTCAGAATTCTCAGACTGTCTCAGAGCTTCACAATGGAGAAGGGGAGCCAGCCCCCACGTCTGGCCTGACCCATTTTTCTTCTCACCAGCATCTCCATCCTGCACCATGAAGGCTGGGCACTTAGACATGTGGGCACCCACAGCCCCGCACATTCAGGTTCTGTTCACACCCCACACCCCATCCCTTCCACAGAGCAGCTACCAATTGGCCCCTCTGGGTCTAGAAGTGCAAATGGGGGCCGGGCGCGGTGGCTCACGCCTATAATCCCAGCACTTGGGGAGGCCAAGGTGGCCAGATCAGGAGGTCAAGAGATTGAGACCATCCTGGCCAACATGGTGAAACCCCATCTCTACTAAAAATACAAAAAGTAGCTGGGCATAGTGATGTATGCCTATAGTTCCAGCTACTCAGGAGGCTGAGGCAGGAGAATCACTTGAACCTGGGAGGCGAGGGTTGCAGTGAACTGAGATCGCACCACTACACTCCAGCCTGGCGACAACGTGAGATTCTGTCTCAAAAAAAAAAAAAAAAAAAACCACTGCGGACTGGGAGCACAGCGCACCGTCCAGAGGGCAGACCCAGGGAAGAGTCCTGCAAAGCCCTAGAAGAAGGCCTGGGATGGTTGGGCAGGGAATTCCAGGGCCTCAGAATCCAGAGTGTGGGCCAGGTGTGGTGGCTCATGCCTGTAATCCCAGCACTTTGGGAGGCTGAGGTGGGAGGATTGCTTTTGCCCAGGAGTTTGACACCAGGCTAGGCAACATAGTGAGACCCTGTCTCTATAAAATAAATACAAAAATTAGCAAGGCCTGGTGGTACATGCCTGTGGTCCAGCTACTTGGGAAGCTGAGGAGGGAGGATCCCCTGAGCCCGGGAGATTGAGACCACAGTGTGTCATGATTGTACCGCTACACTCCAGCCTGACCAACTGAGACCTTGTCTCAAAAAAAGAAAAAAAAAAAAAAGGCCATGCGTGGTGGCTCATTCCTGTAATACCAACATTTTGGGAGGCCGAGGCAGGCAGATCACAAGGTCAGGAGTCCAAGACCAGCCTGACCAACATGGCGAAACCCCATCTCTACTAAAGATACAAAAATTAGCCAGGCGTGGTGGTGCACACCTGTAATCCTAGCTACTCAGGAGGCTGAGGTAGGAGAATCGTTTGAACCTGGGAATGAACCGAGATCGTACCACGGCAATCCAGCCTGGGCGACAGAGCGAGACTCTGTCTCTAAAAACAAACCAACCAACCAACAAACAAAGAACATGGAGTATGGTCTTAGAGGAGGGTGAGGATTTGGAGATTTGGATGGGCAAGTCCCCCAGGCCTGGCAGATTTCTTGCCCAGGGGGAGGGGCATAGTGGAGGAGGCCAGATGGAGCTTCTCAAGCATGGGCCCAGGGCCAGGAGCCTACCAGGCCTAAGACTAAGGACAGTACTGGTGTGGAATTTACAAAAGATGATTAGAGGATATTCAGAGCTGAGAATCCTTTATCCCAAAGTATTATAGGACCTAGATATCTCTTCTGTTTTTATCTGTTAGGCTCTGTGGGCTGAGCCACCACAAATTGTCATGCATAATTTCAAAAGCAATGTCATGAGATCCCATAAAAATTTTTACAGCAAAGTAATATATCCCATGTGGAACACTGGGTGCATTTTAATACGTGTGATAGGATGTTGGAGGAGTGCCTGGGTCCACGAGGCTGTAGCGTAAATTGGCCCTTGTTTGAAGAGGAAGAAACATTCTCAGGCTTCTCCCAGCCTCAAATCATTCAGATGTGCTTTAAGTACCCTGTTTCTGTAGAATTTTGTATTTAAGCTTATGGAATTTTAGTTTATAGGACTTGAATTTTGGTAGCCCCTTCCTTGGTTTGCTCTGAGCAGCTTTGTTAAAACAGAGAAGTACAGCTCGGCGCAGTGGCTCACACCTGTTATCCCAGCACTTTGGAAGGCTGAGGTGGGCAGATCACCCGAGGTCAGAAGTTCAAGACCAGCATAACTTACACGGTGAAATCTTGTCTCTACTAAAAATACAAAAATTAGCCTGGTGTGGTGAGGCATGCCTGTAATCCCAGCTACTTGGGAGGCTGAGGCAGGAGAATCGCTTGAACCCAGGAGGCGGAGGTTGCAGTGAACTGAGATTGCGCCACTGCACTCTAAATGCTTTGTACATATCAACTCATTTAGTGCTCAAAACACTATAAAGCAAATACAATTACCCTCTTTTTTTTTTGAGACAGAGTCTCGCTCTGTTGCCCAGGCTAGAGTGCAGTGGTGCGATCTTGGCTCACTGCAACCTCCACCTCCCGAGTTCAAGCGATTCTCATGCTTCAGCCTCCGGCGTAGCCAGGACTACAGGCTGTGCCACCATGCCCAGCTAATTTTTGTATTTTTAGTATAGACAAGGTTTCACTATGTCGGCCAGGCTGGTCTCGAACTCCTGGCCTCAGGTGATTCACCCACCTTGGCCTCCCGAAGTGCTAGAATTACAGGCATGAGCCACCGCACCCAGCCCAATTACCCGCATTTTAGAGATGAAGACACTGAGGCATAGAAAGGTCAGGTCAGGTCACTTGTCTAAGCTCATAGCTCATAGCTGGAAAGGACAGAATCAGAATTTGAACTCAGACAGCACAGCTCTAGTGTCTTGGCATTTAATGAACCAGCGAAAGAACAGAGGAGCTGTTCCCCAGGTCTCCTGTGCTTCTAGACCCTTGCTGGAGGCAACTGCCTTCACCACGGACTTTTTCAGAGGTTAAAATTTCCAGTGTGGACGACATGGTGGAATCTCGTCTCTATAAAAAATACAAAAACTTAGCTGGGCGTGGTGGCACATGCCTCTTGTCCCAGCTTCTTGGGAGGCAGGGCGGGAGGATCGCTTGAACCCGTGAGGTCCAGGCTGCAGTGAGCTGTGTTCGTGCCATTTCACTCCAGCCTGGGTGACAGAGGGAGACCGTGTTCCAAAAAAACCAAAATTTCCTTGCTGGTACTGTGACCGTCGCGCATAGTAGATACTCTGTAAACAATTTTTGTTTTGTTTTGGAGATGGATTCTCGCTCTGTAACCCAGGCTAGAGTACAGTGGCACGATCTCTGCTCACTGCAACCTCCGCCTCCGGGGTTCAAGCGATTCTCCCCCCTTGGCCTCCTGAGTAGCTGGGATTACAGGTACCCTTCACACCCGGTTAATGTTTGTATTTTTAGTAGAGACGGGATTTTACCATATTGGCCAGGCTGGTCTCGAACTCCTGACCTTGTGATCTGCCCATCTCGGCCTCCCAAAGTGTTGGGATTACAAGTATGAGCCACTGTGCCCAGCTTTAATTTTTATTCTATATAAAACCATTTGTCTTTCTTTGTCCTCATTCTACCTTTCCTGTTTAAAATTTGTATTAAATTATACAAAAAATTTAGAATGTATAAGTGCACAGTTCAGTGGCATTAAGTACATTCACGCTGTTGTGCAACCCTCACTACTATCCATCTCTAAAACTTTTTCATT